ACAATTTGTTTTATAAGAAGGCATCGGACACAAATATACAAGTAAAGAATAAAATTTTGTCTAAAAGGGGAATTACACAAGTTTGCTTTCACCTTCTTGTTTGAAGTCGTCTGTGCATGACAGGCCCTGTTCTTGATTTCCTCCTTGTTGTAATGATTTTCTTTATCCAAAAAAAAAGGACAAAATTACATGAAAACAAAAAATAAATTAAAAAAATTTAAGCGATTAAGATAACAGAACAATCAAAATGATTTTCATTGAGTCAATCTAATATGTACCTTGATTCTACGAATTCTCAACAACTCGATCAAAGTTTCGATATTCCTAGGTAAACTTTTGGGCTACGACGAGGAACTCATGTACTAGTACTTAAATCAAGACAAGATAGTAGGCATGGGAGTGGTCATAACAGTGGACAGGGTTTGGATTTGATTTACTAAATTCAGACCGTGATCGAGACCCAGACCCAAACCATCTAAATTAAATTTAACTTTGATCGTATCCGTCCAATACAGAATGAACTCAAATAGTCTAAAACAGAAGAACATACCTAAACGGTCCTCTCCGTAGAATATTTGGCAATTTTACCGACCAAATTTCTGAACGATTTCGGAATCCATAATTGGAAATTGAGAAATTCTTAAAATTCATATAGTTCGAATCAGGTAAGAGAGCGACATTGGGGTTTTAAATTCGAAAAGTTAGGGTTTTGAATTCAATAAATAAAATGAGTACTCTTATACACAGTGTTCGAATAGGATAATAATACGTAGTACTATAACAATATTAATATATTATTATTCTATAGTTTTCACATTGTATTCAATTCAATGTGGTATACTATATTATGTCGGTTTTCTTTTTGTTTAAATTCAGAAGTTAAGAATGTTGTATTCAAAAAATAAAATAAATAATGCTATATATATAATAATAATAATAAATATAATATTACATAATATAATATAGATTTTTCTATTGTATAGTTTTAAATTACGTTCAACATGATAGATATCATACAATATTATGTAAATTTTATATGTCCAAAAAGAAGAAAAGCAGTCTCTGAGATTAGTGCCACTGGCTATTTGGTCCAGTGGTCATCACCTTAATGGTGATGCTGGAGGTCAGGGTTCAACCCTCGCCTTCCACAAAAATTTGTCACAACATGTGGCTGGTTTTAATTGACCAGAGTCTCTGAGATTAGTGCTCAATTACTGAAAACCTTACAGCTGGACGCACGTGATAGTTTGCACCACGTGCTTCAGTAGGAGCACCAAGAAAAAGGGTGCCCAAACCGTCCAGAAGCTGAATTCAGAAACAGAGCAAACGGCAAGTTGTCTGCGTCTCTCATCGGCTGAATCTGTATATAGTGGTATCATTTTTGTCTGAGCTAATTCTCTCGTGTTCAAAGATTTTCTGCGTTGCGTCGGCTGAATCCATAGATAGTGGTATCATTTTTGTCTGAGCTAATTCTCTCTTTCATTTGTTCAACTTCTCTCCAATAAAATGCAAATACGCGCTGAACTAAACTCTATGGGCTTCAATATTAGTTGATATTCCTGTATGTATGTTCTGATTCTTTACTTTCCAGGGGTCGTGGAGTAACTACGAAAGATCTTTTGTCTATGTCTATTATGTCGGGTGATTGGTAATTAAGCTATGTTCACATTATATGGCCTTAAAATTGATTCCTTGGACATAATTGAGGTGGCATTATGGTGTTTTATCTAGTCAATACATCGCTTAGTTCTTAATTTTTCTTGAATCTTGAGTCTCTTGACTAAGGCAGTACTTATACCTAGTCCTACTGTAAAGTTCTACTGAGCAATTTACAAAATAATGGTTGTTTTTCTTTAGATTGATGTTTAATGAGAATGTTCATAGTAAACTAAAAGCTAATAAAACTGTCCCCTTTCCAAAAAAACAAGGAATATCTCAAGCAGAATAAGAAACATATAGACCAGATTATGGCATTAATTGTTATGAAAGTATAGGAACTTGGAAGATCTGGAGCAATCTTTGAAGGACTAGGTTATCCGCAGTTTCTCAATTCGTGTCCAGTTGGTTTCATAGGCACCAGATTAGTGCAACTGCAGTAGATTTCTATCTGTTTATGCCAACGGGAAATTCTGGAAGCATTTCTTGTACGTGTTTGATTAAAGTTCCCATTTAGTTTGGAAGGAAACAATTGGAAAAGCTTAAGTTAACGTTAGAAATCCACTACTTTGTCCAAGATTAGTATTCCAAAATGGGATGTCTGGAAGATGAAAGGATTTGTCTTTTGCAATTGTTTCTGGTTGATGTGAGCTTTCATGGGTCAAGCTAGTTGCTAAACCATGTATTCATACCTCGAAGCCTCTATGGGCACTGAACGTCTACCTGTGCCTGATATTTTGCAAGATTGGTAATCCTGGTAAATGTCTGTTGAAAATGTGACGATTTGTTTGTCGTTGACTAATTGTAGACCAATGTGGCCTTGATGGGTGATGCTGAAATGCCTCTTTAATATCTTGAAGTCTAATAGACCAAAACATCTGACTATGCTTGGTTCAGAATTTCATGCCTTTCTAGTGAACTTCCCTAAGCAAGTGCAAAAGTATCTGAAGGTCAGTTATCTGTCTCAAAAGACTTCAAAATTGGTAAGTTGACGCTTTTTTCATTGATGAGTGAAAACAATAGTACGATCTTATGCTACAGTTAAATTCTAAGACATCAAAGGAAGATGACAGAACCACAAGCTCAGCCAGCACTGATAGCAATGACAAAGATTCATCAATTGCCGCAAAAGTCAATTTGGAGAAGCAGTTGCAAGCTTGGAAAGAGAATCCAATTTGGGTTAATTCTACCCCAGAAATAAAGGTACGGAAGAGCAAACTGTAAATACGAATACAACACACTTAGTTCAAATCAAATTTTGAGAAAATTAACGCAGCCCAGACTGCATAAAACTCTTCATTGCCCTCTGTGTAAATATTGAAGAGTTACTTATATGTGATTCTGAGTGTGATAGTTGATACTTATTTCTACTTTGATGAAGTCTATTAAGGTTTAATTTCAGCACCAAATTCATGCAGGTTAGTGTTCCTAAAGGTTCTCTTTGCAATTTGAATGTGAAAGTAAATATTGGGCTGCCTCCAGATGCTGTATATGACATTATCATTGATCCGGATAACAGAAGGGTCTTCAAGAACATTAAGGTGGGATTGTCTATTTTGCTGTTCGGTCACTGTGTTTCTTTCTGATTATCTACCACCTGTATCCTGAATTTAGTGTATATCTGGATTTTAAAAGTTTCAGTGGAGAACTCTTCCTCAAAATTTTTTCTGCTACTAAAGTTTGGACTGTGTCTGTACCAGGAAGTCATATCAAGGAGGGTATTAGTTGATGAAGGTCTAAGGCAGGTGGTTGAATTGGAGCAAGCTGCGCTGTGGAGGTTTCTCTGGTGGTCGGGAACCATTTCTGTTCATGTATTAGTGGATCAGAACAGAGAAGATCACTCGGTAAGGACATTTTAGGAGCTGATTGGATTATTTCTTCTGAATTTCAAGTGGAAGCAATCATTTACTGTCCTTCGGCAATTAAAAATTGCAATGGAATTTAGAATTCATGATGATCAAGTAAGTCAATAATGTGCATAAAAAGTGAGAGACTAAATTTTTGCCTTACCCGAACTAATTATGTTTGAGATGCAGAATGCCTGCAATGTAATCTTACAAAAATTTTTGAAGCCGTTGATTATGCAGTTTATTAAGGGCAGATGACTGTTGCTGTGTTAGCATTCACATGTTAAACTAAGCTTGTCTCCTTTTTAGTACTTTGTTGCCTTAGAATACTATTTTCATTTTCTTGTATCTGCTTGTTCCCTTCAAAATGACTAGATGAAGTTCAAGCAAATCAAAACAGGGTTCATGAAAAGATTCGAAGGTCACTGGAAAGTGGAACCTATACTGGTGGACGAACAATTATGCCATTCCGTCAGACCTAAAACTCTGGAGGAATATGGTTCATGCACTAAAGGCAAAGGAAGGATTGCATCAGAAGTGAGCTTGGATCAGCTTATACAACCAGCTATTGTCCCTCCTCCCCCTTTTTCTTGGTATCTTAGAGGAATCACGGCAAAGACCACGGAGATGATCATAAATGATTTGGTTGCTGAAGCTGCCAGGATTAAAGGATTCTGCACAACTGAATTTTCTCAAGTTCCACTTGGGTCATCTGAGGGAAGTTTTGATGAAGGCATGCCATCATCTGACATTAAAGAAAGATGGGCTTTAAGAAGGAGAAATGCAAAGCATTCTCGTAGAAGGCTTTCAGATGGGAGTTGATAAATTGGTCAGGGTTGTTCAGGAATCTTAATGTCTTCGATAGCGTTTGCAATTTTTTGTACTTTTCTTTCTCAAGACTTCCTGTATTATTTGGTTATCTGGTTTCAATAAAGCAAATGTTGTCTTTTGAGAATTAATTTTTTTTTTGTTTTCAAGAAATGTATTTTTGTAAATAATATGCGATTTTTATTCTAGGTTTCTCGAACATGATTTCCCCCACCTGGGGATCCATACTGTGAGTAACATTACTAGGGTCTTTTGCCCTGAAGAATGTTTCCAGCATGTGATGATAGTTCACAAATATTTTTAGTAGAACAAAATCTCAATCAGTTCGTGGAGAGATAGAGATATGAAGGGAAAATGAGTTAAAATGCTAATAAACTTTCTGGAAGTGCCAAAAATTAAAGCGTAAAGAAACAAATCAACAATACGGAAATCCGAATGACTAAGAAAAAAGTTCGAATTAGCGTTATCTTTTGGATTATGATGTTCAAATAAAGTTTTCTTTGGCCTAAAACTTGCAAATTTTATCAATCTAAGAAAGCATCCAGTCATTTACGAATGGCGATGGCATAAGAAGATAGACCTATAACCCGAGAACTTTCTAGTTTCTTGTGGCCCCGAATGGGAAAATTGGAAGCCACCAAATCCAAAGATTTTAATAGATTGACATCTGTCCCGGGAGCTCGCAGTCTCTGGTGGCAAACTTAAGCGTCTCTCTTTCTACGACGTGGCAAAAGAGATAAGCAGGGCTAACAACTGTTTGGAAGAAGAGAATCAAGAGATTTATCTCATGGAAACTCTCCTCTCCTCCACAACTCTTCAACTCAAACCCACACCTCTTCATCTTCAACCTTTCAATTCTTTGTTTCCCAAAGAAACCCTTTTGAGTTCTTCTGTATTCGAACTAAAATATAGCAGAAAATCAAAACTTGGTGTTCATAAAGGCACATTGTCTCAAGGGCCAGCTTTTAAAGTCTTTGCTAGTTCCCAGGCTGCACCTGCATCAGCTGAAGTTTCAACAAGCTCTTCAATACCCCCTTCAATGAAGGCTTGGGTTTATAGTGAATATGGAGGAGTTGAAGTTTTGAAGTTTGATGACAATGTTGCAGTGCCTGAAATTAAGGATGATCAAGTCCTGATTAAGGTCGCTGCAGCTGCTTTAAACCCTATTGATTTCAAGAGGAGACTTGGCAAATTCAAGGCCACTGATTCACCTCTTCCAGTAATTTACTCTCTTTTTCTAATCACATACTTAGCTTGTAATACAATTTTATTCAGTCTATCTAAGTTACATTTGGGGTAGAGTAATATTAGTCCTTAGTTTCTTCAAGAATAATTTGTCTAGGTAGTCTGTTATAGGCAACAAAATTCTATTGGTATTTTACTCGAATTGAGCCAATGTATGATAAAAATGGTATGGACAGGTCGGCAGATTTTGTTAATATCGGGTAACTGCCAAGTTGGAATAAATATTTCATCCCCTTAAAAATGGAGGCTTTATTAGTGTAGCCATGATCACTTCCCAGCAAGTTTGTAGATATGTGTAATCCTGAGGAAGAGGAAGGACCGCTATGGAAGGACTTATCTGGTAGGAAATTTTGAGCATTTTTTTTTATTTTTGATACAAGTACTAAATATGCGCATTATCTTTAGTTTTTTGGGTTTTTTTTCTTTTGGAGGTTGGGGGTGGGTTGGGGTGTTGGGATTCTAGCTTAAATTCTTGACGTTGGAGAAGAAGTGATATGGGAGACGTCTTGTTTCCTTGGTTTTAAGTTGAAAGCCTGATGCATGTCACCCGATACAGAGATATTGGCGTTGCATGCAAATGTAAAAGAGTTTATGACTCTGCTTGTGCTTTTTTAATAAGAAATTCTAACACGTCTCCATGATTACTTGTGTTTTTGGGGCTATCTAGACCGTTCCAGGTTATGATGTTGCTGGTGTGGTAGTTAAAGTGGGTAGCCAAGTAAAGGGCCTTAAAGGAGGAGATGAAGTATACGGGGATATCAATGAGAAACCATTAGAAGGACCTAAACAGTTTGGGTCACTGGCAGAATATACTGCTGTGGAGGAGAAGCTATTGGCTCTGAAACCCAAGGGCATTGATTTCGTTCAGGCTGCGGCTCTTCCTCTTGCAATAGAAACAGCCTATGAAGGCCTGGAAAGGGCTGGATTTTCTGCTGGCAAATCCATCCTTGTTTTAGGAGGTGCTGGTGGTGTTGGATCCTTCGTTATTCAGGTGCATGACTAAAGTTTAATGACCTACCTTTACATTTCGTTGAATTTTATGAAATGCTACTTAAACATATTGCTGCATATGCGGAAGCATTTCTGGCTTCTAGTTTATTCAGCGAGTTACAATGATGACATCTTCTCTCAACGCTACCTTTATGCACTGGGTGCTTTATACGTCAGAGGTGACTAGATAATAATCCTTCCATTCCCTTTTAAGAGCCAAGAATCAAATCCACTCCTTTGTTATATAGCTTCATAGTTATTTCAGTTCGTGCAAATATCAAAGCTGATACTTCACATCTGTTAGGCAGTTATATATGTGCAGATGACTAACAACAACAACAACAAAAAAGAGGGTTCCAAGGATGCATTCACTGCACTACTGCAGTGGCTAGATATTAAACGACCAGACAAAGGAATTCGGTGTTATTTCACTGTCTTTTGCTAAATAACATAACCTTTCCTTGTCTTTGTGTGAGGCAGCTGGCAAAACATGTCTTTGGTGCTTCGAAAGTAGCAGCTACTTCTAGCACTGGAAAATTGGAATTGCTTAGAAGCCTGGGTGCTGATTTGGCAATTGACTATACCAAGGAGAACTTTGAAGACCTACCAGAGAAATTCGACGTGGTTTATGATGCAGTTGGTAAGGAGCCATCTAAATGCTTACATTAGAATATCTCTAATCCTCGTAAGTATTAACAGTAACCTGAGTGAATCGAACTAACTACTAATAGATAAAAAAGAATGTCATTGTCACGGAATATGTTTCATGGACAAAACAGCATTTCGGGATGAATTGGAATTGTAACATCACGAGCACATTAAATCCTGAAAGTGGACAATAAACAATTGTGGAATGTTCGACAATTCCTTCCATAACCAACGCAACTCCCCTAGACCACCAGAAGGATTGCTGCTCCTTATCAATGAACTGTATGTAGTATGCATGTTTAGGGAACCACATATAGTAATGAGTCTGTGGAGACCATTTAGAGCATGTGAGTGAGAATCCTGAAGAGGTCTAACTATACAGAATCGCATGCTAGAAAACTGTATCAAACAGTCAATGAAGATTGTGCTTTTAAGCAAATCTATATCTGAAGATAAACTTCATAGAGCCTCTGCAAGAAAAACTTGATGCTTCAAAATGATCTGGCCTTTTTTTTTTTTCCTTCTGTAATCTCCAAAGCTTAAGACTTTGAGTGTGTGATAATCATCAGATGCTGTCGATGGCTGTCGGTTCTTCTAATTGCTGCAGATATTTGAAATTATAAAGTAGAATTTGTAACTCGAATATTATTCTTACAGGGCAGGGTGAGAAGGCAGCAAAGGCAGTGAAGGAAGGGGGCAATGTGGTGTTCCTAACTGGTGCTGTCGTGCCTCCGGGCTTCAGATTTGTGGTGACTTCTAATGGTGGAACTTTGACAAAACTCAATGCATTCCTTGAGAGTGGACAAGTGAAACCAGTAGTGGATCCCAAAGGACCATTCGCGTTTTCAAAGGTTGTTGAAGCTTTCTCTTACCTTGAAACAAACCGAGCTACAGGAAAGGTAGTAATACATCCAATTCCATGAGACGAATACCCAGGCTGTTGATGGCATGACATCTATAGTTATAGTCTGGTAAGGACCAAAAGCTCCTTGATTATAGATATATATATAAATGTTTATGGCGCAGCTAATGGTGATTTAGTTAGATGCTGGTTGTATCTTGCGACCTTTTTCACTCGGTAACTCGGTTCTTTAGCATGCTAGAGAAAATAATCCAAAAGGAAAAAAAAAAAAAACAATAGTAAATGAATATGAATACATGGATGGATAAGAAGAGAACCCCATGCAAATTTTATAATTGCTTGCTGACGAGAAGAACAGAGGTGTATCAATTTTAATAATCATAAGTTTCATTTATTTCAATCGAATTTAATGTAATTATGATTAAAGTAGGAGGAAATTACAAACCATGTCCTCAAAAGACATACTAGTATACAATAGCAGCTTAGAAACTTTTATTCTTGTCGCAAAGGGAGAGAAGCTAAGCTGCACAAGGGTTGATGACAACCCTAAACCACATCACCCCTGCAATTAACGTGGTTACTTAGTAAAATGACAACCCTAATATGAATTTGATCAATGTGAATTTGTAAGGGACGTAAAAATACACTTTTTTAAAAGTGAGGGACGAAAAAAGTCATTTTATAAAATGTAAAAAATGTGAGGGATGTTTTGAACAATTTTTCCTATATTATTGTAAATTCAAGATCCCATAGCTCAAAACATCCCTTAACGAAGTGCCCGCCTTGTAGTGCTAGCGTTCTCTGCCCCAAAAAGAAAAAAAAGAGAGAAAGAAAATCAAGATTTTTCGTCATTCAACAGCGATATACAGCCCAAAATAGAGCCTGAAGCTCTACTATTTTCAAAATATGAAGAATTGTTTTCCCCTGTGGTAATGATTTGGTGGTACTCATCTCTCGTTTTATTGGTTTGGTAAAGAAATAACGATGGATGAATACCTCATTCATTCCTCCAACTCCAAGATAGATTATCTATCAGAGTAGGTTTAATCCCTCAGAAACAGCACATAGAGCCGGGTTTGATTCCTTAAAAACAATCAAATGACTACTACATGGTAGAAAGACTGACCCAAGTGGCGAGTCCCCAAGCACAACATCCGTACCGGAATCAAATGTCCATGAGTGCTTTGATCCCTCCACAATGGCTATGTCCGATGACCAGAATTTCTCTACCTGACAAAATTGGTACCTTTTGATTTAGAGCCCACGACACAACGAATGTAAATCCTAAAGCGCGCACAACATGATTTGGAATGATTTATTCATTTATTTATCTGAGTGCAGGAATGCCATGTAATATATAGTATGACATATTATTATCTCTTTACGTCAGAGCGCCAGATCAATGGTCAATTGTGATGATTCACAAGTTGCCTCAGCAGGGGTAGCTGCGTTGGCTTCGTACTACAAGTACGTTACAAATCAGACAAGCAAAGCGGGAAATCATAAAATGGTTAGTAGTAATATTTTTCATAGCCGTCATTAAATTATTACTTGCGTCAACTTTTGACCATCAAATAATTTTTTATCACAAATTGACCATTAGACTAACTAATCAGTACAATCATAACCATTTCGTGGATTTTGGCTCACAATCTACCAAAAATCAGAATGCTTAGGGGTATTTTTATCTACCAATATGTGTTAATTATATTGGATGAATTTTGGAGTTGGTGAAAATATCACATGCGCTAATCTTGAAGAACCGCAAGAAATAGGATCCGATACATTTAATACTAGAGCTGTTTTGCTGGAACTTAATGGAGTAAGGGTATAGGGTCGAGTTAGTGGTTATTTTTATTTAAAAATAAAATAATTTTCTAACTACTCAAATATTGTCAATTTGAAAGTTAAAAGAATTAATTGTATAATAAAAAAGTAAACAAGTTTATTTAAAAATATATTTAGTTATCAAATAAAAATTAAGTAAATGGTAAAGTTTTTTTAAATGAAGATTCTATGTATAAATGCTGTTAAATGCGTACATACACTTTGTTTTAAAAATAAATACCCACAATTATTTTGAAAAATCAGATTAGCTGAACAATTTTCAGTTGAACCGGTAGGTTAAATGAATTTGATCGGTCAAACTAGAGACCCCCTGGCTTGATGCTTGATCATTGGGCCGACCAGGTCAATTTGCACCCAGAGGCTTCCTTTGATTCCAATTCCCAAGATACCTTCGGGTTTAATTGATAAGCAAATTTGGATAATCTTTTGTTTCACTTATTATTAATTTCTTCAAATGAAGAAATAAGAGTCACAAGTGGGACCATGCGAATCATGGTAATGTTTGGAAACAACAAACAAAAATCTCTGCCAGCTGTTTGGTAGACTATCCATGTTTTGACTAACTAGAAAAACAAAATCCTTAATCGTTACTTGCATACTTGTGGAAATGTTATAGTGTTGTTAATCATCATCAGTTCAATTTTTTTTTCGTTTTATATGTTAGATAGTAAACTTGGATTCAATAGAAAATGATAAAAGGAAAAAGGAAACATTTATCCTTGTCACGAGAGCAGAAGCTACCCATTGTTCATGACAACACTATATGGCAGTACAATCTTTTACGTGAAAGACGGCAAAGCTTATATTGTTAAGGCAGGCAGCAGGTTAAAGTCAAGATCCCAAAGCTCAAAAGAGCCCTTAACGAAGTCGTAGTGTCCCCCTCTCAATGCTAGCGTTTTCTTGGCAACAGCCTCTCTCACAAAAGGATATGTCAACAAGTTCCCCAACGATATGTTCACTGCCTCCTGTTCATTGACAAAACAAAAGAAGAATTTTTTTTTTTATATAAAAAAAATTAGCTGTAAATCATTCGAAAATAATAACAGCTTAAAAAGGAACGTCAATACCACATTAAAAGAAAGTAAATAAATTAATTTCGAAATTTCTAATATCAGTATACGTGACATGGGCATTTCAGTTACCTTCTCCAAATTTGTGCATTGTTCTGCAAAATCCAAGCCACTGCAAGTTGATTTAATCTTGGCCTTGGCTGGCAAGCAAATTTTCACCCAGTCCTCGATAAAATCACTGTTGTTCCCAAGTGTGAAAATTAAAATTAGTCCGGATTAAGTAGGCTAGCTTTGTGACTGAATCATCACCAAGGATTAAGCAGCCTGTGATTTCCCCACTCAGTTGCTTACCCCTTGTGATTATTTATAAGGCTCCGATCCTCAAGAATGAAAAAGAAAATAAAAGGAGAAAAAAAGAAAGAGAGAACTTGCAAACTTAGAGAGCAACACTTAACTAATTAAGTTGGTGAGAGTACTAGTAAGGACTAATTTTACTCGATAACTAAGAAAAACTAGAATTGGTTTTTAGACAGAGACAACAATTAACAAAGCTGATAAGAATTGTTGCTGTTCTCATTCCGATGTAGTACTTGGAAAAAAGAGAGGTAAAAAAAAGGAATTGTCGTTCTCACGTAAATAGCACAACAATTATATGATCCGTAGTCTCCTCCACTCGTAGATGTAGTAAAGAAACAAAAATGATAAATAAATACAAGGGTTTGACATCTCCAGAATACCCACATGAGTCGGTCTGATTTATACGTCCACAAACCCCAAATAAAAGGCAGAAAGAGTTACCTGGAAGTGGTCCCATCATCAGGAATGGACATCAGCCCCTTTATCCCTCCACAGCAGCTATGTCCTATAACCAGAATGTTCTCTACCTGACAATGATACTCCCGATTTTAAAGGCCATAACAATATAAAGAACAAAATATGAAACAAGAGAAAATCGAGATAAAAGATTCATCACTTTACAAAAACTTCACTTCCATCACCAGTTCATATACATATTGATTCCAAGGCATCAGGGAGGGAATGTGAATGACAAATCCGCTAAACAAGCTGGAAACTAGCTCTCCTTGTGTAAGTTGGCTATTAGGTGAAACGTTAAGGTATTAGATCGATTGGAGGTCAGAAGTTCAAATTTTTGCACGCATAGTAAAATTCAAAAGATGTGCGATAATACACTCCTTTAATTTAAAGGTGGGATTTTTCTCCACTAGTTCCCCTTGGCCTCGTTGGAGTTTGCGGAAGTTGGCTTCATTCCTAATTTTTAGTAATTAACAAGTTACCTCGACAGGAAATCTACAGTTGTAATGTACCTAACGAATCAGACGCGTACAAATAAATTGGAATACAAACAACACATTCATGTGTTTCACCTTAAGATGCAGCACTGCGTATTCAACAGCCGCGCCTGCTCCAGAATATTTTGTCTGTGGCATTATTGATAATGATTAGCGAGACAAACATTAGTACAGGTCTAAGTACAAAAAAAAGGGAAGGAAGGACGCTTCAAGAATCAAAATTTAAAGATATGTATGTATTGGTTAAGGAGAAATATATTACAAAATGAAGTCATGATATTTACTTTTTTTTTCCTTCTATACAAACTATATCATTAAAATTACAAACAACAAGTTCAAAGAAAAGGAAGCCCTACTGTCCTGTTGTTTAGTAAGTCGAAAGGTCAACATGGCACACGGCACTGTGTAAATTCAAGAAGTCTTAGTCCTAGACGATTATGTATCGGATAACATTAACCATAGTTAGCATGCGGAAAACATTTATGTATCGGAACAAGTCAATATTATATACCTTATCATATGGAGGGACCATATTAGCAATGTTTCGCACCACAAATGCCTCCCCTGGTCGAAAATTGAGGATAACCGAAGGGCAAACTCTGGAGTCGGCACATGCAAAGACCATGAACTGCGAGTAATTTTAGTAGTATTAGAACAAGTCTATATCAACTCTAAAAAGACAATGTACATATGAATCTAAGAAGTCAGATAAGGTTTTTTTTGTTCCCCCAGCCCAGCCTTGTTTTACCTCCAATTGAAACGGTTAGGTATACCAATTTAATATAACTAACCTTGGGACTTTGACCTTTGGCAAGTTCGCCAAACAAACCAGGGTTCTTCCTGTAGAGCAAAGGCAAGTCAATTATCAATTATTACCTAAATGTTTGATCAAGTCATGGAAAGACAAATTCAGGCAGATTTTTCTTACACCCACCAACCCCCCCTCCCCTCCTTCCCAAAAAAAATAAATAAAAATTTTCAGGCATCATTTAGACTACTTGAGACCGTCATTCTTCGGTTACAAGTCAATTATACCAATTACGAGTGATCGGGATTGATTGCGTCCCCCAAGTCAAGTTTTTTTTTTTCCCCTCTATTTTGTTCC